GAGAGAGAGAGAGACGAGAGGGGGGGGGGGAGCGATTCGATTTCCTTTTGTTCACCAATCATTAGACTTTTCTACTTAAAGTCATCCCATCGTCTCGTTTAAGCCGTTTGTAAGCTAAAGGTGATGTCACGTTTGTGATACATTACCTCGGTACTCACCATGTACCGAGCAGGGGAAAATATTCATTGTGCTGCCATTCGTGATAGAGCAAAGAGAAGTGTTTGAACTGGCGAATATTGAATTATCGACAAACAGCAACAAAAAAAATTGCATTTACTAAATTAACAAAATAGTTCTTCCCTTTTCTCGACTTGTTTAGGAGAGAGTAAAGATGATTTTCTTTCGCTTATGTCATTGGATTATTTTATCATATATATTGAATTTCACAAACAATAATTAGAAATTAAAAATAATTAAATAATTAAATAATTACTTTTAATCGACAATTATAAAGTCAGTGGGCGAGAGGCACGAATAGGAAGATAGATGCTTGGTTTAAATCATGCCCGTTTTCTGCCGATAAATGACCCCATTATTTTTTCGATATGAGAAAGGGAGCTCGAATGTTATTCTCTCTTCTAATATCATCACCCATAAATCTGTTTCTCGTATGCAGTTCGATGGAAATATTATTCCGCTTCGTTTGTTTATCGACCTGTGAAGCATAAATCTGCACGCTGCTGTTTCAGTGCAAAAAATTATTTAAAGATTTCTCAAATCGCGATAGTTGGAAAGTGACTCATCGCTTTTTATATTTTATTAACTATTAAACGATTAATTTCGCTGTAATATTCTTATATTCTATATTATATAGAATATAAGAATTTTCTTTTTTTTTTCGCGAATATAAGAATTTGCTCTCCTAATATTATCGAAGAACTGAATATAATGATGAATATTATTCGGCAAATAGGATCTTAGACGCCTAATAATTTTCTTTTTGAATTTATATATATTAATTTATTATTATTATTATTATTACAACTGCTTATATAACTGCGTTAATCACGTGTGCCAACTGTTATTTTTTAACAAACTTGTAACAACTCAAAGCCATATACAACATTTTATCCTTTAATAAATTAATTAATCAAATTTGCTATCGATTGTTCTCTCTCCCTTCTCTCTCCCTCTTCACGAGAAATTCTACGAAAATCATATCATTTCAGCGAAACTTTAAATCCGGAATCTCCTGATTATCGGGTCGTCTTTACCAATCGGACCACTGTAGCACGTAGTGATATATTTATCGCAATAATTAGATAAATAATGAACGAAAATGTTATTTTTAATCGACATAAGGAATAAACAAAAGTAAAGTAATAATCCAAGAATATATTTAAAGAGAAACAGTTGTCTTGAAATTATGTATAAATTAATTATCTTTAATTTATAAATCAATTATCTATAAATATAAATTCAAAAAGAAAATTATTAGGCGTCTAAGATTTTTCCTGCTAAGATAAAGATGCTATCTATTATATTCTGTTGCATATATTCTTGACTTATTAACATTGACATTCTTTATTATCTTCATTACATTTATGATAGCGTATGTAGACAAAATAATATGTAACTCAAAATTACATTAAATTGATCTCTCTATTATGTCTCCGAACATCAGATTTCTTTATCGTATTGACGCAACACCTTTACAAAAAACGGATTGAAAATCGGGGGTGTTTTTTTTAGGGGTGAATAATGTGAACAAAAATGGCGTGGATTATCTCAATATCTTTATTGATACGTTTTACAGTTCTCACGGGTATAATTTTCTGACGATCTTGTATATAACCTTTCGAATTAATAGCTTTGAATAATGACGTCGGGAAATGAATCCGTTGTTTTTTTTTTTTTATTATTGAGAGATATTATAATATCACACTCGCGATATCGGCAAGGATTCACGTAACGTAATCCGCAAGCTCGAATCGACTGTAAAATCCATTGATGAGAAGCGAGTCAACAGTAATGATGATTTATAATGATCGGATGCGAGTGGAATCCTTTTCCTGTGTGCCTGCAACTAACTGCATTTTATTGCATTCGGACGTTACTTTTTAATCGATTACTTTTGAATAATCATCACTTTTTTATTTTACCGAATATAAAGAAATGGAGAGAACTTATGTAAAAGAATTCAATGCATACACGTTTCTGACGCAAGTTGAAGGATTAAGAGCATGTGCCTGGCATATTTGCTAGATGACATCAAACATCGAATATTCTATAGACTGTAAGCATTCGTCGTTTTTAAACAGTGGCGAGCGAGGACATGCCAATCAGCGTCGTCGTTTCGATGAATTTGTGTCTGCAACAGTAAACAACAATTTAAATGTAAAACATAAACCTGTATTCCTCGCAAATTGAAGATAAAATTTTCCACGTTGCTAACTCTTTATCTTTTGTTTTCCATTTTTGCTATTTTATTCCGCATTTAAGTGCGAATATCCATCCTCTCTCTCGAAAACTGTTTAATGTCTTGTCACGCGTAACACGAAGCTCATAAAAAAATGCAATCGCATCCAAAAAATCGCCCTTTTTAAAATTAATTCATTTTCTTTTAAACCACAAAAGACTATCACCGAAAGCTGACGAACTTTTATCATTATCCATTTAAAACCGCTTTAAATAATTATCAGGATTTTTATCTTCGATTTTTAACATTTCAAAAAGCTTTCTTGTAATTATTAACTCCCTCGGTTACGGTTCGGTTCACCATCCTCTGATCTCTCTTCTAATTCTTGTAGGAGCCAGAAGGCGCTCTGAAAGTAGGCCACTTCGTGAAATAAGCGGAAGATTTTTCTCGTCGAGGAAGCAGAAAAGGCTGACTGGCGTACTTCGATCCTCTTTCTTTGTCTTTTCCTTGCTTTCGCTTCTTAACTATTCCTTTTCTTCTTCCTTTTATCTTTCCTGACTTCTTTCCAACGCTGTTGATCAACTTTCTTATTATAGATCTGCGTGATCGTCGAATTTATATATCTTTAACCTTTAACTGTATTCGTTAGATCGCTGCATATAAAGTGCCGCATTTTAAAAGATCGAAAACGTTGCGACACATTTGTACAAATAATTTTCTTTTAACTTGTCTTTATATATTACAGTGACATGTTTTTTTTTTTTCGTCCTAACTT